TCAATGCCGCAAGCAAATTTATTGGAATTTACAGGAAGTCCAAAACGAAAGCAAAAGATGAGTGACGTTGAAAACAAAGTAACAAATAGGAAAAAAGAAAAAGTCAAGAACGCTTTTATATATCAGAGAAGTATTGTAGTATACAACATTTAACGATGCGTTCTCGATAGCGTGTGCATCGAATTTTACGATTTTAATTCAAAAGAGATGATTTTATGACGGGTCATGAACGAGTTACGTGGATCGTTGTTTATTCTACTTTTTTTTCTCTGTGCGTGTGTGCGCGCGAGTGCATGGCCAATAACATTAGCTGCATATGCAGCACGTGCGACGAAGAAAAACGAGCAAAACACAGTAGCGGCGTCGAGGACAAATCGTGAAATTCGCGCTAATAATGCGTATAATTATACGTTCCTCTTTGGAAATAACTATTTTATCTCTGTGAAAGAAAATTGCAATTTGCGTGAGTTTCATGGTCCGTCGGCAGTTATCGTCAACTTTTAGCGTCGAGTTTAACTCGTTAGTTAAGTACAATTATCACGCTTCGAATAAATCTTTCGTTGGAGCGTGTGGAAATTTGGAAACGTTGTCGAAACGTTGTCGAAACATTGTTCCTTGCTCGCGAGAGGAAGGTCCGGCTTATAAGGACTTATCGAAGAGGTTGGTAAAGACTGAAGAGATAATACCGTCTCCGACCGTCGATTAATATATTAGGAATTAGGAATTACTCGTAAAGAGGGTTAGGATAGAAATTCGTGCCTTTGGAAAAGCATCCCATAAATGAAGCATCGATTCAAGAATTTCTTCGATATGCCGTTAAGGTGGGAACTAAGGAAATAAAAGTGATCGCTCGATATTACATGGTTATTTACGAAGACAAGGTTTATCGAAGCAGAATGGCCACTCCTCCCGTGACGACGGTCCTTTTGAAAATCCTGTTCTCGTTGAAAGCGATCGCGGGAGTTCCATTTCGGTGAATAGGCACGCACGGTATAATCGAAGATGACTTTTCGGTCAGCGAATTTGACGTTTTGCATGGAAACGTATCGCGGTACAGTTCTCCCTATATTTTCTATACTATATATCCCCTTAATATACATATACCTCCTATATATATTATCTTAATATGCATAGGAAATATTTAGATCGTGATTTTGAAAGGTAGACAAAAACCTGCCAAGTTTTTAGCGTAATGACCCAAAATCAAACCAATCGATCCATTTATTGTTAGTCTTTTCAAATTGCATATGCCCGCTTAAAGAAAGAAAAAGGATATACCAAGAGGCGATCAAACTTTGACTCTTTAAATTCCGTTTTAATGGATCTCTTTCTTTCTCTTTTCCCTATGGAGTTACTTTCTCTCATCGCAAAGCTTTTCATTTGAATGTAAATTTCGCGTCGACAGCGCGTAAAGCAGAAACGTTGAACAATGTTTTGTTGGCGGGGTAACGGCGGTAAGTCAGTGGTAAAAGCAGTGGCATACGATTAAAATTTCATTTAATCGTAGTTAGCGAGAAAAATGATTCCTTTTATTCCGAGAGTACACGCATAGACTCTTACAGACAACCTGACTGATATCTTCTTGAACGTAAAAGGAAAAGGCAGCCATTGGAAGGGAGAGGATAATAATATGCTCTTCAGTTGAAATAACCTTTCTGCGGCAGTAGAAACGGAAAAAGGTAGAACGAAAGAAAGAGAAATAGGAGGACGTTCAGCCGACCGTTTCCTTTTTATTGAAGTATTTGTTTAACGGTGCTGGTGCTGGTGCTGGTGCTGGTGCTGGTGCTGGTGCTGGTGCTGGTGCTGGTGCTGGTGCTGGTGCTGGTGCTGGTGCCGGTGCTGCTACGAGTAACGAGATGGAAGAGTAGTGGTAGGAAAGAAAAAGAAAAAGAAGAGACGGAAAAAGGGTAAAGGCGTCTAAGGTGGCGCGTCGTTTCTGTGAAAATTCTTCTAGTCTAGATACCTTACGGATAGAGAAGTGGCCCCGGGGGCGTGCTCTCGACTTGGCCGGACACGGAAGTGCTATACTGGAGAACGCGTAACGACCACCTACCAAATGTACCTATCTGTCCTATTGTGTGCTCGTCCCTCCTATATATTTTTACTTGTAGAATGTGTCAGAGAGATACTTTTATATTGATAGACGTCGAGCTAAGCTTTACCCCTCTAAACTTCTAACAAAAGACTCTTTCGTATCCTCCTCTCTTTAAGTATAGCTACTGCGGCGGGCCATAAATTAATCAATGTGGAAATCTTTAATGTAGTTTATAGTTTTTAGTTAATATCAATCGTTAAATCGGTACGCTATCAAGGATATTAATCGATTGACCCTTTGGCCTATTATAAGTGGATCGTAATTTCTTGTTAAGGGTAAGCCAACGTTGTTCGAGTACTAGATGCTTTCATTGCAGAAGACTGGCTTTTGATGCAATATCCGCTTAGGTTGGCGTGATTAAAGGTACGCGCGCACCTGCGTTCTCTAGTACTCGCAAGTTGATCGTTTATTCGTTGGAAATTCAACGAGGCATTACCATCGCTCTGTCACTGGCCTTAACGCGACCCCTTGTATTCCTTTCTACTCCTAATCCTAACGTTTCATTGCACCAATTATGCTCGAAACGCGTAATACGTAACTTTGAAAACAATACCGCACGGAGCTCGCTATATTGTCCTTGCTAAACCGATTTAACTTATTCTGCTCTAATTATTAATGCCTTTCTCTCTCTTCTTTACTTTAAACAGAGACAAAGAGATAGAGAATAACCAAATTCTTGTCGCATATATATATAATATTATTGCAAACAGTGTACCTATACGTATATCGAGCGTGCTTCGAAATTCTGCAAATAATGTAGATGGTGCAGAAAGAGCCCAGAATTCACTGGTAAATATTGAATTAGAATATCGGACGACGTTTCACGGATGTCTCCGTCTTGAAATATCTCTATTTGCTTGGCAGGAAGCTGTGCGAGTATGCAAAGCCTCGGATATATTTGTAATCGGCAATAAAAAGATAAGAGATAAGCGATAATTTGAAATACAGCAACATCGATGTAGGTACTAGCGCTATAATCGTCGACTATTCTGCTAGCGAATACAAAGCCAGGAAGGAGAGGTCGTGCTCATTCTCTGCTAAGTCATTCTATAGATAAAGCGGTCGTTATGTCATCCCTTTTTTCCAAGATCGATAGCACTTAACGCGCGAGCGTCGCGTGCCTTCGAACTTGTACACCACGAGCTTCGCGTACCTCCTACCCTTTCTCCTTTCGCTATTTTCTATTATTCTGAAATCCCACTCGAAGCACTTGCCGCTCCTATCGTACCATCGTTGCGAATGTTACTTTACCTTGCTTGATTTACACCTGATAATTAATCTTTTCATTTGACTGCAAGTCAACGACCATTCATTTACTGATTCTTTCCGGTTTCTCCTTTTTCGGGCGCGACGATGAGCGCAGACGCAGACGCAAATTCAAACACGAACGAAGCTTGGCAATAGTAGCTCGACGTTAAACATTCAAACGGACAGCAAAAAAGAAGATGCATTTGCATCTCGCGCTGCAACTGTGAATCCATGGGAAAAAGATAAATAATTCAAAGCTTTTTACCTAGCCGGGAAAGGAAAAGAAAAGAGGAAATTTGGAACGGTGGTAATGGCGATTCGGTGGTGCGACTCGTCGGCCCAAATCGACGGATAAATATCCGCTTGCTTCCTTTTTCGTCGTAATCATCGACGTTGTCATCATAAGTCGAAGCTCGCGCAAAGTTAACGGGGTGACGAGGCATTTAACGAGTATCGTGACGAGATCAAGCGTATCGTCGTCGCGCCATCTTTCGCTTACTATTTTCTTCCTTTTATTTCTCCTTTTCTTTTCATCCAACATTATTCCCGGTCGCGTTGTTCCTCATAATTCCTCGTAAAACACTTTTTCTTCTGCCCTCCTATCGTCCATTCGCGTTCTCCTCTCTCGTCCCCGCCCTCTTTCTGTCGTCGTTTGCATAAAGTGAACTATCCGCACTTTTAATATACGCAAATGAAGTTGCGCTCCGGAACTAATCATATTTGCATACGAAATAGCAATCTCCTTTGAGTCTCTGTCGTACTTATTAAGGCAGTTTAGTCGTCGACAAAAATGTATCGCGAATCGCCGAGTCTTTACGTTTCTTTTTTTTTTCTTTTACGTTACGCGTATTTTCTTCCTATAGGCATTTCATATCTATTTTGACTCTACACTCGCACAAGATAGACCGCGTTATTTTCGTCCATCTAGAAGATTGATTTCCAATCTTTCGCGTTATGAATAACGAATAAGACTTTTAGTTAAGCGATAATTCAAAGCGATGTTTTGTCTGAGAAATATTTCATGAAATCTATCTTAAAGTTAAAGGTACTCCAAGAGTAGATTTCGTTGCGGGATTCGAAAAGTTTTCTAACTTGATTTTCCTACTGCGAGAACCCTATCGTCGTTTAGTTATGCAGTCGGTCGAAGTAATTTCATTGACGAACCAAACTGTTACGTTTCAGTCGGCGCTCGAGTTACATAACGTACACAATCGAAGTATTCCCATTAGAAATTAACAAAAGCCTGTCTTTGTGTACAATGGGTTCGGTTGACAGGCATAGAAGATTGGAAAAGGGTGAAAGGTAAACGTTCCTTTTCACTTGCTACCGTTTACAGAGCTCTCCCTATGTAGTTAGTACTTCTTTACTCAACTCGCAACTACCACCGGCGTATAATAATATTCCTTTCTCGCGTATACTTCAACTGGGAAACTTTGGATCCGCGTACTAGAACGTTCTCCTCCTTTCTTTCGCAGATTCTTTTTCAATCGAACGCCAATCTTAATAATGATTGCATGCTATTTCTTTTCTCGCACTTTTGATAACCGATTAAAAACTCTCTAAAGTTCTTTCTCACTAACTTGCTAATTATCTTTTAACAATTTGACGGGCTATTTTACTAACATGATTAACGAGCTCTCGATTTTCTCATTTCCAGGTGCCGCTTTGTGCATCCACTAACCGTACGAAGAGGCGCTTGACTAATCTTCGAAAAAAATGCATCCTCCTAACTCTCCTTAAATCTCGACGATCGTCGTCGTCGTCGTCGTCGTCGTCGTCGTTGTCGTCGTCGTCGTCGTCGTCGTCGTCGTCGTCGTCGTCGTCATCATCGTCGTTGTATGGGGTGGCTCGAAAATTTTATATTTTCCCTAGCTAACGCGTTTGAAATCCCGTGAGAATTGACGTGATATGAGTACTGCGATGATGCGAAAGAATCCCAAAGATGCGCAGGACCAGTACCAATGGTTTAAAACTCGATCTAACGGAGAATACGCCAGGTAGCTCGTTGGCTAGGCTACCGAACTTGGTCGAGCATGCGGAGAGTTGTCAGGTCCTGGCCGCCAGCACGGGAGAAAATTTAAGCAGCAAATTGCCGAACGTGGTCGAGGGCTCGATGGACTATGGTAGCGAGCGTAGGTCTTCCCGATACTTGGAGTATCAAGATTCTAAACCTTACCAGGATGGTCAGGTCGCGTCGTCGGTGGGAGGATCGGTGGGAGGATCGGTGGGAGGTTCGGTGGGTGGTACGTACGAGCACGTCGACTATCAGGATCAATTGAAGACTGGATATAGCAGGAACTACGAGAAGAAAAGCGGCGGGACTGGCTACGGCCGAGAAAACGTCGATAGATACGTCGAGGACAATAGAATTTATCCGGAAGACGGTCTAAGGTACGACCGTCGAGGACCCCTAGAGGAGAGAACTTACGAGGAATCGGATTTAGATGGTTCTTACGAAAGAAGCGACGCTCAAAAGTTAAGCGTAAGAGCTTATCCCGCGGAACTTCAGGATACGACGAGCAGACGGTACTCGAGAGACTTGACGGATTACGAGTACGCCTCGAGATACGCAGAGGAAACCCTGAAGCTCGAGCCGAAGAAAGATCATCATCATCATCATCACCATCATCACCATCCCCACTCCGGCAAGATTTACGAGCCGGCCGGAGCATCGAAGGGATACGAGTCCGGCGTTAAAACCCACGACTCTGCCTACGAGCTCGGTAATTGTGCCACCGCCACCGCCCAACACCAGGATCCAAATCCTTCTTCCGCCGCTGCCAGGAAGTATGAGAACAAGTACCATTCGGCAGGAAAAATGTACGGGACTTTACCGAGGTACGATAGCACCGGTGGCAAATCTTCCGCTTACGAGACCGGCTACGAACCGAGATCGTTCGAATCAAAGTACGAGGAGCAAACTTACGATACCGGTAGCAAGGCTTTCGATCCGAAATACGAATTGACCAGCTCGAAGAGTTACGAGAGATGCAAGTACGATGCTTCCTCCTCCTCCTCTAACGCCAGGTATCGCGACAAGTCTTACGAGCAAACGTTGAAGATCGGTGAACTCTCTTCCTCGTCGTCGGCCGGTCCTTACGTGAGAAAGCAAAATCAAGAACAAGAGGACATGACCGCGGAAAAGATGAACGGTTACAGAAAGAACAATTTCGAGGCCTACGGGGTTTACTCCGATCCGGAGGACGATCACGGTTTTCTAGCCGAAAAGAAAACTCCTCAGTACACGTACAAGGGGGTAGTCGTTAACGCCAGCGGGGAATCGAGCGTCATCGAGAAGCGGCCGAAGGACAACAGGCAAACGGAAATGCCCCGAAGCCCTTGGTGCAGGCCTATGATCTTGCTGCTCCTTCTGGTCCTCCTCGTCGTTATTTTCGTATTCGTCGCTGGAATACTTTTGTACTTTAATTGTAAGTCCACATTTATTTTCACACATTAATAGATATATCTTATCATTAGTATATTCGGTACGTTAATGATGCCCATTCGGTAGCCGTTCCTTTTATTTATCTTCCCGAACCCGGTCGAGGGCGGACACGTTCCGACGATACGTTAAGCCGAAATCGCTAACTGTCTCTACGGGTAGTTTTATATGTCGATATTTTGATATTCCCGGCACGTAGAGTCTTGCCACTAGCGAAACTGTTTGTTCGGAATTACAATGCGTCTCGTAAAGAGAGCACAATTGGCATTGAAGGAACGAAAAGGGAGAAAAATAAACGTTAGACGTTTCGCGCTCGTACCTCGTAGATATGTAGCTTCCACGAAAAGACGCATCTAACACGTCCAACTCGTTTTCTTCCGTCGAATCGAATAATCCTAATAAACTCGAAGAAATATCTTTTCGCGCGAAGATTTTGTTCAGGGTTCGTATTTTTGTTGGGTCGTGGCCGAGTCCACCACGGTCGCTAACAATTCTGTCGCGAACATTTGTTATTCATTGTTTCCAGCCTTCTTTCCACCCATACACGAGGACGCCGCGCGTACGTAGAAAAGAAAAGGGGGGGTCTACCTTGTCTCGGAGCATTATCGTGAAGGATCGTCTAGCTGTAGCGATTGGAATTTATTTCTCCGTAAGTTTTCTACACGCGTGGAATGGGATATAAAGAGAGGGATGAAACGAGACGGGACGGGGGGATAGTCCCTGTAAAAGACGTTCGAAAGTCACCCAAGATTTGTCTTCGTCGTCTTTCATTCTTCTAACTCTATACGGCGATACTTTGAATGCTTAACGGAAAAGATAAAACTTGCCGTAGAGAAGAATCGGAGATGTCTTAGATATTTCATTACAAGGCCAATCTCGGGTTCACGTATTTATAGTATGTAACGATCGATGAAGATCGTAAAAGGCGTTACATTACGTCTCTGAAATCCAATTCGACGAAACCTCCTTAACATTCGTGTAATGGGAGAACACGGGCTGCTAAAGGGAAGCAGGATGGTTATTTCCTCGAGATTTGTATCCTAGTCAAACTACATTGCTTTTTGTTTTCGCGACGGACGTTGACTCGTCGTTGTCGCCTCTAAAGGTGGTTTCATGAGAAAACAAAAAAAAAAAAAAAAAGAAAAGAAAAAGAAAAACGGACGCGAAATAAAAAGAATCCTCTCTCGCTCTTGTAACAGTTTAACAATGGTATTCAGCGCGTTAGAGTAGGAAGGGCGACTAGTGTAGAGAGAAAAGTCGCGGAAGCGAAAGGCGAGCTCTCGAGTTTTCCCAGGGTAGACGAGGATCCTTTGCGATAGCGCTGATAGACGACGGGGGATCGCAAACGGGCAGAAGGGAGTGGTACATTCCGAGTGGCTGCATTTGGCAGCGGTCGACGGGTTCCGCCGAACGATTCGGTTTATTTTCGGGTCAAGTTTTCACCCGACCGCTTCGCAATCAGACAGAGCATAGTCTACCGGACAACACATTTACTGCGACGTAGCACGAACACGAGCATAGCATCCCTATGGTTTCATGGTTCTCTTCTGTCGACTCGACACCGCTCTCGTTCTCTCGCTCTCTCAGGTTTCCCTTCTACATACCATATATGTATATTTCCCTAGTCTTTTCTCTCCGACTCTATTTCTAGCTCGTACGCTCGTATTTTCAACGGGATTTTCGGAAAATTCGATTGCGCCCCCGGCAACGGCGGGATGTTACTACCGCGTCCTGTTCACGATTCCTGTCGACGCCATTTGTAACGAGCACGGCTCGACTTTCGTTTCTATCGATAAACTGCACTCGGGCCTTTATATCCGTAGTCGAATCGCGGGACTCGAGTCTACTGTCCGTCCGTCCTGCCAACTATCGTTCCTCGATAATTCCTCTTTTACATTTGTTCGCTAAAGAATTCGTGCGTTTACACGCGGACCCCTTGGAGGAGCCCCACGGCATTAGGGCTTTCTTAATAGGAAAACTATTTCACCTTCGAGATAGGGAGAATACGAGAAAGGGGATGTAACGGGCAAATTCCCGCAGAGAACGCGCGAGTCGGGAAAAACTTCGAATTCGAGATAAAAGTTAGACGTGAAAGTATTAAAGACGATAGAACCCCAAGAAGAACCCTTTGAAAATATGAAATTGCGCAGGTCGCGTTGCACTTTCCAAGATCTTTCTTCCATCCATTCTCCAGGCTCGCTTTGTGCGACGAGCACGTGTCACTTTTGTACGCGATGAAATTTATCTCGCGAGTGGATCAGCGCGTCGTTAAGAGGGATAACAAAGTTTCCCAAGGCTTCAGGAACCTCTCCCGAAGGTTGCAATTTAAACTAGTTACGGAACGTTTATCGTCTCGCGGCAACGAATTTCGGGGTTCTCTGGTCGTCTCGTAAATGAACGAGAGCTTCGCCAACTAAGTTTCCTCGAATCGCAGGGGCGCGTATATTTGTACCAGTTTCTTCCTTAAAACGTATCTGCTGCTCGCCTATCCGTCTGGCTGCCTACCTGCCCGCCCGTCTGCTTGACGATTTCGCTTCAAGGTGCAAAGTGCTTCCGCTCGCAATTTTGCTATTACTCGAAGATCCAATTTTCTCCGTCTTTCTCTTTCTCCCGTTTTCACAAAATCTCCTCCCTCTGCCTCTTCCTCTGCCTCTTCCTCTGCCTCTCCCTCACCTATTCCTCCAGCTGCTCTCAGAAATCTAACCGTGAAGCTCTCTTCGCAGTTCTCCTCCACTCGTCCCTCCTGTCTCGTGCGCGTTTCGCCAAAGGAAGAATACTACTTTTCTCTCTGGATATATACGCGAAGAATAAATGAGCTAGCTATAGAACGAGCTTAAACGTTCGAGAGACGTTTTAAGGATAACGAGGGCAGTAACCGGAATACCTTGTAATAAAACACGAAATTGTTTGTGATCTCGAATAAGTATCGTAGGAAGGGTCCTCTACTTTTCATCGGAGTCCTCGTCATTCTACTAACGAGAGCAGGAGAGATGGCAACTACGTTTTACAATACCATGAAACGTAGCTACTACGAGTACTATAGTTAAGATTACAAATATCAGAAATAAAAGTGACCCAGGGAGGTGACGTCATTTGATCGCGCAATGAGCGTTTTTAATTGAATTTCATCGAATCCGTCGAATAACACACGTTTCAAAGTTTCGTAGGAAAGGATCGTTATTGACGCTAATCCCTTGGTTGCTAAATGCTTATCGTTAATCGCAGTAGAATAAGAGCGGCTAAAATAAATGCGGTGATTTTGTCTATAAAGTAGCATCGGTGCTCTTCGAACAAATGCTTGCGAGCGGGTTTTAAGAGGATCGTGGAAAAGCGGATAAGGAGGAGTCGAGGCTAGAGATATTCTCTGGCCTTAATATGATCGGCAGCGTCCTTAATCCTACAACCCTGAGCCCATCCCTGAGCCCATCCCTGAGCCCGTCCCTGAATTGCGGCGCTGCGAGCTTGCCTGAGAATGAGGACGAAATGGAGGAATCGCGGGAAACGCTCATAAAGGCGGATGCGAACGCGTGCCTTACATACTAAATTCTCATTCTACGCCAAAGGTCCGCAGTGCATGTACGGGACAGCTCGCATCGTAATCCCTTCACGTAAGCGAACCCTCTGCTCTTCGAACTCTGTCCTTTGTGCATCGACGCTTCGATCGATTCGCTTTCTCGACCTTCTGTTGTCGATTTCCTATTTTCTTCTTTTATTATTTCTACATTTCTTTAATACATCGACAATGGTTCGCAACGAATAAGCATCGTCCGAGCTCTATCTTGCGTCCTTCAAAAATCCCCTTTTCGATTCAATTTACGTATGTCCCAAACTTGATAAAACAATTACAAGCTATTGCTCTGCATGCATGGTCTTTAACAAACGGCTCCTTTAATGAAATTCTTCGTTGCCTGTTTCACCTTTGTCCGGGCATATATTTTAATAAAAGATAGTAGTACCTTTCTTCTCTCCTTTTTTCTTCCTTTGTCGCAAGCCTTGTCATCGGGATACATATATATATATATAATATAATAAGTAGGTCGAACTTTTTATCGTATATTTTGGCTAAATCCTGTTCTGCGTATGTACTCGTATAGTAGCATTTCGAGCTAGTTGTCGCAACTTTTCACGAGTTTTTCCGTCACGTAATTCGACCTTTATATCACTTAACGCATCCTCCATTCTATCCTCGGCGCGTCCGTAAATTTTCCTCCTATGCTTTTGTCGAAATAACGTTGAAGGCGGCCGCGCGTCCGTGTGTGCTTGACGCAAACAGAGAACTCACCGGAGTTGGTAAGTATATTGGGCACGTGGGCGCAGTTAGGAAAGACGTGAGCACGAAACTGGAAGGAAAAGTTTCTTCATTTTTCGCGTCGGTCTGTCGGTCGGTCGGTCGGTCGATCGATCGGTCGGTCGGACGGTCGGTCGATGAGAACTTTTCCTGAAATATTACGAGAATCAATCGCTAGCACGAGTGGCCTTGATCGAAGAGTCTTTCTCGTGCTTTTTCCGGATACTAGTCCAATCTCGAAACTCGTTGACGTTGAGAAAAGTAATGAGCAAGCTTTGAACTTTTCAAAGTGAGTTCTCTTAGTAAACGTCCCAAGTACGAGTAGTACAACTAATCGACGAAGAATATAAAAACATCCTTACAATATTAATTATTAATCATTTTTACTCGTTACCTGGAATATATATAACTATCTAAAGTAAGGAAAAGGGGATACGGTCGGACTGCATTAATCGTTGCTGCTCGCATTGCACGTCAAGCGTCGAAGTTATCGATCTCTCGATATGGAAACGGATGACGTTACCGCATTTTCCTCGTATGATCCTCTAAAAAGGACCTTCATGTTCGTATGTTAACGATAGGTACTGGATACGAGGATAGAACGTTTCACTAATTATCTCGTATCTCCTCGTGTGAATTTATCGGCACGAAATACTCGATGATTGAACGGGTATTGGACGTGGAAGAAAGTACTATCGAAATGATAATTGCTTCGTCCATCGAGATTTTTGTGTTAGTAACGCTTATATGATAGATATAGATAGAGGCACTATTTCATTTAATCATACGACACAGAAAGGATGGATTAACTAGATTAAAGGCATATTACGGTAGAACGGTTATAAAAGGAAAAAAAAAAATCGAATACGCTTGATTTTGATTGGACATCGTTGCAGGAAGTAACGCGAAAATACGCCGAGCGTAGAAAGGAATTTAATCAGTCGCTGTGTCGCATACTATTCAAAGAGCTCTGACGGGTATGCTCGATTCGGATTTGCGGGAGCTAAAGTTAGTATAAAGGAATCGAATCGTTCGTTCCCGATTTTAGTGGCACATCGCCTCGAGATACATCATCGCCTCCCAGGGATGAGATTCCAACCGCGCGAATCAAAGTACGGCAATGTCGAATCCTAATGGAGCTCGAGTTAAATATAACAGCGGAAAAGTTAATGCGTTTTCGACTTTGTCGCGCCGATTAAACGATCTAGGCCGATGCATTTTTAGGCACGGCAGCAGTCACAAGTCTAAGTGCTCTCAAGCTCCTTCGTAAATGGAATTTTTCGATTCCCTTTGAAGTTCCTCGCGAAATTGTGTCTGTACGGTACTCGATCCTCGCGATAAAGAAAATTTGTCTTTTCCTAAAAACGCTAAAGATGTCTCGAGCTTTTGTCATGTTCATAAATCGTTTTACAAACCATCTCTTTTCCCCATTTCCAATTGCATCGTGGCAACGAGTCTCGTAAACGCCTGCGGCTCCGCGTTTCAAATAATTTACAATGTTTTCGCGCATTGTTTGTAACTTTGTAGATATTTTATCGCTACCCTAGGATGAACGGGCAAACATCGCGCAGCGACATTATTCAACAGCTGCACTTATTACTCTCCGTTGAGAAGAAAAAGGAGAAGAAGAAGATCGATAAAGAGTAACGCGGCATTGGTAATAAAATAGCAGGTGGATGGAGCACGTAGAACGGTTTGGTGCGCAAAGCGAGCGAGTGTAACGGGTGGCGTGTTACGCGTTGCTTGTGGGAGTGACGACACGTGTTAACCATGTGCGTCAAGCCACAGATAGAGCTCGACACGCGAAAGGGGAAATATCGGCAAGGTTTCGTCGAAATCGGGAGTTCTCCTGGAAGAGCCGGCTGCATACATATCGTTACTTTGTCAGCGCCACGTGTCTTCGATTGCTCGCTATTTGGGAAGACGTTCTTCGCCACTTTTTAACGTCCTTTTCGCTTACCGATTTGCAAAGGAAAACAATAAGTATTGGATAGAACTGCGATCCTACGATCACGAGTTTTCGAGGGAAAACCCCTCTAATTCTAATTGCTTTTGCATTCTCGATGGACGAAGCGTAGCAGTATACGAGCCGCATACGCCATTCAGATTTGATCGCGATACGAGAGCACGGAGGCGCGCTCGAATTCGGTTGCATCGCGAAACAATGGTTATTAAAAATTGTACGTTATCGCGATCTCCGGTTGTTGCTGTATGTAGAATAATCGACAAAATGCTTTGTCCGAATAACGGTATTAAACGATTCGGTAACTTAATTATAATCAAAATCGTCCAAATTTACATTCGGCAAATATACGCAAGTATCATTTTTTCCATTCGTAGATAATAAATTGAAGACTCGTAAACGCGCATTATGAAAATTGTAGGAAAATATCGCGGCACGTTGCGATCGTGGGTAATAATAATAACGCTTGCTTTTAATACATCCAACCGCGGCCGCGAATCCAACTTTAATGGCGCTCGTTTCCTAATCAACATTTCGTCGTTATCCTTCCGCTTCGCGTTCACCAAACCTTTTATAGATTTTCGATGCTGCGTCGTAATTAATTAGAAGCACGAGCTTTATTTATCAGTCGTTAGTACGCAACGTCTTTAATGCGGATTAAACGTTTGCTCGCAAGCGGCTTCTCCTTTATTTCCCCAAATTCATATGTAAACTTGTAATTATTTTTAATGTCGTACGTATGTACTGGCACAACGGTCGGAGGCTCTTCATTAAAGAGATATCCAGGAAAGGATAATTAAAAGTTTCAGGAGGAACATCAGACCAGGAGCCGGATGTTGCGCGAGTCAAGAACCCGAAATTCCCTGTTATTTGCTTCGGGAACTTTATCCCGGGCCAAGTTACCTTCTACAGTCTACCTTCTAGCGTGTTTCTCCGTTCCTAAACTGCCTCGGCACGTTTGCGTACGATCAGTTAGTCCCGCAACAACGCGTTCCTTTTATTTATATTTTGTACTTTACCTAAGAGATGATCGATCGCTAACATAATAAAAAGATTCGCTTGCTTTCCTTCCCCTACGACTAATTTTTAACTAATACTAACCCTTTCTCTTTTCAGATATGTCCTACAAACCCCGCCATCCCCCTATGGAGGGTAAGTAATGCTTCTCGCGCGTCAACTAATCGATAAATATGTAGTCATCGTAGATCTTGATTTGCCGCTTAACTCTCTCTCTCTCTCTTGCATGATCGAAACAAATGTTCTTTCTTCGAGGAAGGAAATTTGAAGGAGTAGATTCGATTCATAGAAAAAGTGCGAGCGAGATAAAGGGAAAAAGCTACTTTCAAAAAGACGTATTGTCATTTTGAAAAGCGATCCTCGTTATCTTTCATTCGCTTTCATCGGACGATGAATAAGCGCGCGGGCTGTGTGTATTCTTTCTCTTTTTTGAAATCTCGAAGAGGAAGTATATTCCTCGCGAAGCAGAGAACACCACGGCGATTCATTATTCGTTGTAGACGTTTTGTGCCCCTAATAGTTCCTTTCCTAATCATCGACTTTAGCAAATCGCTTGATATTGCGCTAACCGAACGAATTAATAGAAAAATAGAAAAGCAACCTAAACAAAGGCCACCCAAAATGTGATTACTTTCTATCACTGTTTCTTCATCTTACCAGGGAATAAATACCAAGAAATGAATTTTAAGTTTTCATGAAATGAAAGTAAAGTGTTTTGTCTTCGTTAGCGGTTCCGCGTTCAATTGAAAATGCAGCGAGTAGGAAAAAATAAGGCGCGAAGAGTTAGTATTACCGCGCGTTCCACGGAAGACAACGCTCGCACCGCACGGTTATGCGCCTCGTAAAGCTCGTCTTTCATTTTCTAAACTTTGTTACTTTCTGCAATGAAAACTGGAAAATTTGCCTACACTTTTATTTCCGCTCTGTCACGTTGCCGGAGACGCGGAATTCCTTCTCTCGTTTCGCACGCGTACCCACCATAGTGGATACGTACGTGTACGTGCGTCCTACCTACGAGTGCACTCGAGTATACTGAAAAAACGTTTCGCGTGTTACGCGTCTAAACATAATTCACGATATTTTTCAAGGAGAAAACGGAAACGTAATATTCTCCAAGCAACTACCTATGTATTATATAGTATTAATTTTCATATTTTCTTTTCACTCTTAATTAACAAAATGGCGTCGATGTTGTTTCCTCTCATTTTTTTCTCTTAACCGGATATTTAAAGGGGCGAAACAAATCGTAGCAACGACCTATGAATTTTTTCTCTTGATCTTACCTTTCTCTTTTTTTCCACGCTCATTTTACAATCTATTATCGGAAGCAAACGAGTTATACGCGGTTAAAGACTACGATATGGAAAGGAGAAAGAGATCGAGAGCCGCGTTAAAAGGTAGAGACGGAGTAAAGGAAAGCAAAGAGAGGGAGGAGTAATGGATGTAAAAAGTAGGGAAAAAAATATACATGCATTTGTACGCGCTACTCCGCATCTTCCTCTCGTTCTCTCTCTCTCTCTCTCTCTCTCTCTCTCTCGGCGAGCGTAATTAGAAACGTTTGTCGGCAAGCCTGTTAATTAACGACGCGCGCGAATAACGAGGTTAGACAAATAGCGCGTAGAGGAGAAATGACGAGAAAAGTTTTCGATTGGAGAACCGTTCGTCGTTTAATCGTGAAATACGATGCTTTCGCGGAAAATCTCCGATCGTTAAACGCTAATGCGCGGCTTTTCCGACACGTCCGAATACTCCAAAGGGAAAGATCTCGGGGAATCGACTCGAGGATTCTTAAGCGAGCCTCGAGAATACTGCTAGCGGCACGATTATCAATTATTAGCAAAGTTAGAATACATACGTAGAGGAGCGAACGTAGGATAGGGTTACCATTGTTCGAATAGTTTACCAATACTAACGTTTCGACGATGCACCGCGCACGGATATTCAAAGTTCGAACATTCGGATATTGAATACGGTTAGGCGGAAATTGCGAATACTCCGGATGACGTGGATACTTTGACTGTGGTTACTTCGAGCGGTATTAGATGTTCCGATGACAGTGTTACGCACAAGCGATGGACTTTGAGTTCGGTTATGGAGTGGAATGCCGGATCATTTGGCACAATGTATACATTTGTACGGCTGCATTCCGCGTCCAAAGACGTCAAGCTCGACCATTTTTCCATACCAGAGTTACGTCGATTATGCATTTTTATTCGTCCGCGTTTACTCGCAATATAATATCCTAGACGTCACGATACTGCTGCAACGACGTACCCGAGTATTTACGCAAATCCAGGCATCGTAAGATGGATGCATATCGATATACGTATCCGACACTCAAGTACACCCGCGATATGGAGTCGTCGAATAAATCGTTCGCTCCCTCGCGAGCGAAAGCTTCATCGTTGTCGAGGGGAAAACGACAAAAATAGAATAAAAGAGGAGACTGTTAGGAAAACTTATGGCAAAGTTGAGAGCTCCTAAGGGTTAAAAACGTCCAATGGTTTCGTGGTACTGCATTCGTCGAAGAAAGGAATATTCGCGAAATATTTGTCGTACGTTCGAGACTTAATCATTCCGGACGAGGAACAATGCGTTGGCGAGACGCGGAGAGCGTTCTCCGGAGAGCTGGTTAGAAATAAGGCTCGTAAAAGTATGGTCGCGTAGTCTCTGACAGTGCTCTAGAGGATGAAAGGTATTCTCGGAATGTCGGGGAAAGGCCTGGTAAAAATTTCTACCGAAAATATTCTACGACTACAGGGTGCAGTTACTATAAATCCCTGCGTCCTCGTGGTCTATTCTTTGCCTCTAGGAATGGGGAGAAAGAAAAGTAAAGGGCTCGAAAGAGAGACGTAGAAAGGGTGGATGGAGGAATGCATACGGGGAAGAAAAAAGGAGGCATTCCTCGATAAATTACGCGCAGAATAAGTGGGAAGAGGTGGGAAAGTTCTCGTAGGACGAAGCGGCGGGGTGAAAGGGCGACACCGGCGAGATCCAGCTTTTCTTTTCCGTTCGTCCTTTTCATTTTTTGTCCTTTTTTTCTTGCCTCTCCCCTTTGGAATCGCCTGCAGCAAAGCTCGGACGGACATTGGCCAGAATTATCGGACTATCCACTAATATCGGTCTCGAGCTTGTCGCGAGCACCATGCGCGCGCTTTACCAACAGCGACAAACCAGGTGTGTTGGAGAGCTTTGAACTTTGGGTAATAGGTTACACGCTTTGGACCATTGGGATTGGAAAGTTGTTGTATATCGTCCGTTAAATCCACTATCCTCGTAATCATCTAACGACGATGACAATACGCCATCCGCTACTATCGTTCGAACGATCTTTCGGTAATCACTGGATTTAATTTTGCCGTTACGCAACTCCCTACAATGCTTTCGTTCCTCTCTCTCTCTCTACATCCATTTTAGTTAAAATTAAAAATCCTACAACGTAGTGGTTACCCCACTCTCTAATTATATGTTCATTAATTAAGCCTTTTGGAGGAAAAAGATAGTAGCAGCAGTCGCTATTATTGACGCGCAATGTACTTACGTTCTAAGATAAGGTTTCGCTAAGAAATTGCTTTCCCCCCGAGATAAAGCTAAGCTCTTGAGCTACCTTCTCTTTGCGCAAATCCTTTCCTTCCTCTTCTTCTACATTCGTCCGATGCAACCAACATATTTCGATTATTCGTTCTTCGACTATTTCGCTTAAGAATACCATTGAAATGAAAAATATGTAAACGCGTATAGAAAAGTTACAATTTTTCTTTTTAACATCGATTAAACGGCAAAGTTCTTCGGATATTTCTCTTTCGCAAGTTAATCCGCTTTCTTCCCATATGCGCGCTCGGATTTCACACGAATTTTGACAAAATAGAATAGCTTTTATCGATGCAACTATTGAATAAGATCTTGATTTAGCAAATATTAGTTATACCGTCAACTTCGTCTATTGACACGAGAAATTTATTGATTTTACATAGCTCGGAGAGTATTTTATGTTTTCTCGAAAATCCATTTTCACGGAATCAAGGATACTCCATCTATTTATTATTCGAAAAGCGTTGTTTAGTAGAATATCAGTGATATCGATTGGTGGGTCGAGGGTGTGAAGCATCATTTTGTTGTCCAACAATCGTTTGTGCTCGACGCGAAAATAGCGCTGATTCGTGTCGACCGCATAATGAGCGACGTAATAATAACGTGTCATAACATTTTATTATATTTACGTAACGATTGCTACCTACGAACTATAATAAAAGTGAATACCGAACTGAAATTTACTTTTACCGATAATCCCTCTTATCTCCTCTCGTTCTCTCTCCCTCCCATCCATGTCCATTACCGCTTTGTTAATCAAAAATCATTTTATCGATGAAATGAAAAATTGTGATGTATCGCTTCATTCATTTATCGGCTTAAATTTTATGCAAACGTTCAATTTTGCATTCTGCTTATTACCAATCCCCCGACATTTTTAATCTTAATTTGACGTTAAACAGTAAACAACGATCGTGTTACCATTGACGTTCGCATGTTGTATTAGTCAATTTTATTCGTTACCTTTATGCAACGTTATAGAAAATGTCGATTTCAACCTTTCCAACGATTTAGAATTCTATTGTTCGGTAAATGCATTTGCTTCCTGCATAAAAGAGGTAAAAAATGAGGATGCACTTCTGCGTGCATTTTACCAAGTTCTACATTGACATTGTAAATTAATGAACTGCGGAAAGAGAGAGAGAGAGAGAGAAAAAGAAGCTCCATTTTTTATCATTTATCGACATTTCCGCTTCCTTTCGAAAGAAAGAGCGGATTTTTAACGTCAGCTACGATTTTACGTTGTACCTAGATATCTATCTACGTTTGTGCGTATATCTATATATAGCTCGAAACTACGGTTAAAATATATTCTGTTTGCTCGATCGATTCGTTCGAGCGCACAGAATACATTTTGCGCAGCGCAACGCGTATCAAAACAACGAGCGAGCAAAACTAAGAGAGAACTACAATCCAAAGTTTTCCTTTTTTTATATGCACGTACTGATATTTCACGGGCGATAGCTTACGATCGCTGTCATCGCAAATAGACTAAAATACTTGTCAATGTCGTAGTTTCGACGATCAAACGCGTTTAAACTTTC